CTGAGATACATTACCAAGGATATTATTACAAGATAAATGATTTGCTTCATTGAACACATACAACAATGCATATTTCCACTGAGATCAGTGACCTTTGATGTGTATCACCAGTGATCAATCAAGTAGAAACAGTCAAAATATTTTATCAGATTTTCTCAATTTTTGCATGATATTTTCATACAGGACATCTGTTGTTCAACTCAGGGAAGACTTTATACTGATGAATAAGGTGACCAAGTTTGATAAAGTTTGGAATAGAATTAGTAAAGTTATTATGCACACAATAACAATTATTAACGACGACGACGACGACTACGACAACGCCGGACAAAATTTTTCCCTTAATATATCTTTCCCTTCCATCTTTGATGGTACGGGCAAGGTAATAAAAAGGCATTAATAACAAAAGTAATAAAAGATAAAATTAAAATAAGTTTATAGCCAAAATAATTAAAGCCTGTACACTACATCAGATTTTAATCAGATTGATCATTTGCATAATACCATACTCCCCGGGGCATAAACCCAGGAAGGTTCAAGCATTCACCCCCTTCAAAAATTATTTTATTTTTGTTCACCGTGTGCCAGAACCATGTGGGGAGAACATATAATTGCAAAATAACTGTCACTGATATCCCCAACACTTTTAAAATGAAGAAACCAAGTCTTCAAAAAAAAAATTCACACATGTTATTACAATATTCAATGCTTACCATAATCAAAATTAGCTGGTGGATCACCTAATTTGCATAAATTTAAATATTATTTGCATATTCAAGGTATATATTTGGGGAAATGTTTGTTTTTTTCCCAATTTTTTTTTTCTTCATTATTTATTATTATGTCTATCGTACAAATAATCTTTTGAAATAAAAAATGAATATATGCATTATAATTTGTAGTCATTATTGACTCGGTTCAAAGTCTGTGATTTATATATACATTATAAAAATACACAATCATGTAATCTGCTACTATTTTCCATCAAAAATATTGATAAATGGAAAATGTAAAATATCTAAAATATCTATTTAATTACAAACTTTACTGCTTTACAAATTCAGAAAACATAAATATCCAGAATGCAGTTTTCCCTATGTAACTTTAGATGCTAAATCATCACAGCACCAAACTGAAGTGGGTGTTCTCCCGCTCAGAACGAGCCAAAATGTCATTTCATTGCAATTTCCATGCTGTTTCACCATGAAAATCAACTCAACGCTGTGAATAAGGCTAGAATTTAAATTTTTGTTCGAGTTTACATGCAATCTGCTAATATTTCTATATGTCTTTATTAATTATTTTGGTAATCAGAACACGATTACTAAAGCATGGATGTGAATGAAACTACTGTAGTTATGTAAAATACACAATCAGACTACTGACACATAGACAACGTTTCACTGTTTACTTTTTCATGATTTCCAAAATTGTAAATGCTACATTGTTTATGTCACAACTATTGAATCAATATCACATTATTCTATATTGACCACCGTTCAGCTGGCAGATGTGCAAGTTGGTGGGTTGGTGTCAACAGTCACAGAACTGCCGTAAAGTTTCACCACCCATCTAAAACCCTTATGTAAAACTGCTTGCATAATATAACAGCGAAACTCCACTCGTAATAGAAATGCACATAAAATTAATTATAACAGGCCATACATGGCACAGTCCCCATTAGTTATCAAATTTGAGATATAGTTTATAGTAATATAGTTAGAACATAAACATGTCAGAGATATATGGATCCAGAAGCTGATGCTTGATTATGATTTTTTAACATTAAAATGATTGACATTCAGTCATCTTGTATATGATCATCAAATGAGTACTTGACCACATTGAAAGATACTGCTCTGGAACAAAATGGCAGTGAGTCAAGAATTTTGAATCTGATATGAAAAACAAAACAAGTCATTGAAAATGACACAGTCCCCGTTAAATTTTTAAAAGTTCTCTTTGTGCTTGTCATATTAAAGCAGAGGGGTTTGTCGCGAGCATGTCCTTGAAACTTGAGTTCCAAGTGGCGTATACAACAGATTGTTTATTTACATCAAAACACATGTTCCGTGTAGTAGTAATATGGTCAAAAATAAAAACAGCCGTTATTCGGCCATCTTTGATCTGATTATGAAACACACTGATATGTATGATGTATGTGCCAAATACGAATAAAAATGGTACATAAATTGTGGAAATATAGTAGTAAGGCCAAAAAGGCCATCCTTGACCAGATTTTAAATTGTCATGGACATGCATCCTAACATGTATAAAGTACATGTATGTGCCAAATTTGAATGAAAACTGACAGAGCACGTCCAAGATACTGCATAAAAAAAAAAAAAAGATGCCTGCCAGTCGACCATCTTTGATCCAATTGCGAAATAAATCGTCATGGACATGTATCCTAACATGTATAATCTATGTACCAAGTTTGAATGACAACTGACAAAGCATGTCCAAAATACAACATTTTCAAAAAACAAGACAGCTGCCAGTCGGCCAACTTTGATCCAATTGTGAAATAAATCGTCATGGACATGTATCCTAGCATGTTAAATCTATGTACCAAGTTTGAATGAAAACTGACAAAGCATGTCCAAAATACAAAATTTTCAAAAAACAAGATGGCTGCCAGTCGGCCATCTTTGATCCAATTGTGAAATAAATAGTCATGGACATGTATCCTAGCATTTTAAATCTATGTACAAAGTTTGAATGAAAACTGACAAAGCATGTCCAAAATACAACATTTTCAAAAAACAAGATGGCTGCCAGTCGGCCATTTTGAATTGAATCGCTAAACCACTGCTTGTGCATATATTCCACATAAAGTACTAGGCACATGTGAAGAATGAACGGAATCGGCCCAAGGGATTCTGAGATATGACTCTGGACGGACGCACAGGAGCACGAACGGAGACCGAATTATAAGTCCCCATTTTCGGACTTCGTCCGAACGGGGACTAATAACGTGCATCAAGAACCATTAATTTTGTCTATTGTCCTACAGCATCCATGTATAAACATTCATTGATATGTGATGATTAGTACCTGAGATATCAGTGTGAAAGTTGGAAATTGGTTAATTATGCAAATTAGGTGATTAATATGCACAAATATTTACCAAAAACTAATTGGGTCTCTGCATAATTCTAGATTCATTGAAATGTGATGATTAGTACTTT